CTGCCTGAACTCTGTCTATGAGCCTGTCTCTATTTTGCTTGTTAGCTCAGTTTGTTACCCTTTGTGACAGCATGAGTGGATCAGAGAACATTATGCTAAGTGAAATAAGCCAGTCAGAGAAAGACAAGTACCATATGATTTGACCCAATTTCTTAAAATGTAGTAATTCGAGGGTATTTTTTTCCCTAGGAAAGAGCTCTTAACTTTGTTACATGCAAACTGCAAGTAAAAGGGGACAATGATAAAAATGATGATTTTTATTCAGTGGGTTTTAGAACTATCTAATACTTTTAAAAATAAAGTTACTTCTTTCAAAGTTAAAAAAAAAAAATCAACAATTAAAAAAATGTAAAAATGCCAAAACTAAAATACGTGTTGTCACCAACAGGAATCGGCTCATTTATTTGTATCCTCAGTGCCCACAGGGGTCAAGTGAACAGAGCTCAGTGAATGCTTCGGGTGAATGCAACACACAAGAATGAATGGCTGTGAAACGAGCATCTTGTCAGAGTTGATGACCTACATGAGCGTGGAGCTCCTTTGGACACCAAGAAGTGATTGCTTCTTTCCAACCCAAAATGCTCAGCATTTTATATATTCAAAAAAATTTTAAGTAGTTATTGGACATAGGAAAACAAGTGAATGGAGAGGTGAGGAGCCAATATAAAATGAATAAAGAAATGAGGGCTCAATTATTAATTCTCATTTTTAACAATAAACGCTTAGCCCAAAAATATAATCTTAGGTAAAAACAATACACTAGCATTTTTGTATCAATTAAAACTGCAAGTTCCTGACATTTATATTTTTGGTTCTTGAGGTCACATTTTTCAACTTTTCAATAAAATAAGTTTAAAAGAGAAAACAATTTTTTTTTTTTTAATTTCAATGAAACGTGCCCATGGCACAATGAGTGAAGATAACTGTGATATATAAAAATTGAATCTGAATATCCATTTTGAGAAAAATAAGCAATAACAAGGCTATATCTTGAAGGTACACTGGGCTTTTCAGCAGTAGTCCCCCCGGCGTGGTCTAACATACAAATATGACAGCCTTATGAAGAACACAACCTTACATTCGGTCTGGCTGCCAGGTCGTTCCACGGGTGCTGCCGTCCTGATGTGTCCCATGGGTTTTGTGCTTAAGCTCTACTCACTTGAGTCAACGAAATGCTACCCATCAACTTAGAGACGTGGAAGAATATCATATGTTGGCAAAAATAACCATGCATTTCTTTTTTGTTTCTTTCGAATGACTTTTGCTATTGCCTGGGAGAGTATAGGGAGGTTCCATGATATAGAGATAGCACCCAGCCTTTTCTGTTTGGAAACCAGCAAACCTGGTTTACTGGTTTAGTGTACGAATGGGAGTGTGCCTACTAACTTCTATGGACTCTAGCTCTTTCATTCATAAAATTAGGGAATTAATAAGATATGTTAAATGTTTGTAGTAAGATAAAGATAAAACCACATGAAGCACCATCAGCGCTACTACCAATGGAACTAATCTAAGTAAACGCTAGTCTCCTCCATGTTCACCTGTCCACACATCAGGGCTGTATGAATGAAAACAGAAGAAATGATGAAAGATGTCAGTCATTAGTTCTAACCAGATGAAAGAGACAGTAGCTACTCTCCCACTTAGTTGTGTTAGTAGGCATAGTTCTAATTTCTGTGCCTCAGTTTCCTCTTCTATACAGTAAGGATAACAGCAGTATCTTCTTCAGAGGGCTATTCACAAATGAAATACGTTAACATTTGCACAACTCCTACAGCAGTGGTTGGAATACAGTAAATGCTATAAAAGTATTGGCTATGGGAGAATAGAAACACCTACATATGTAAATTACATGAGCAAGGTATTTTCTGGGCACAGCTGCAGTCACTGGGGCTTGGGGACCTGTCTGCGAGGAGTGTTATTTTTCAAAGAGGCATATATATTACTTATTTTAAAAATATTTGGGCCTAGAGCAAATGATTTTTTTTTTTTTTTAATGTCTTTATTGACTTCAAAGAAAGGAAGGGAGAGGGAGGGAGAGAGATAGAAACATCAATGATGAGAGAGTCATTGATCAGCTGCCTCCTGCACATCCCCGACTGGGGATCAAGCCCACAACCCAGGCATGTGCCCTGACCAGAAATCCAACCCAATCTCCTGGATCCTAAGTTGATGCTCAACTGTTGAGCCATGCTAGCCAGGTGCAATGATCTGTTTCTTCAAACAAACACAGGTCAGGCATAACCCATTTGGGCCCTGTGAATCTAGCTGGCCACTGACAAAGTAAGTTGTATGTTAAGAAATGTCCCTATACTCCGATTTTACTTCAACAAATCACAATGAACAAACACATCCTCTCACTGAAACTAAACCCACTGAAGTTGTAATTACTGTCCACCCATATGTGTTGTCCCTTCCTACAGGAGGATTACATTTTTCAGCTCCCTCAAAGACAGCTTGCCTATGTGCTATGCACTAGCCAACAAAATATGAATGGAAGTGACAAACATCATTATCCAGCAGACACTAAGAAGCAGTATGCAGCTTGCCAGGTTCTCTTTCCCTCTGGCACAAGATCAACAATGATACACAGAGAGGCCATGAGCTTGGGTTCCAGAGTGAACACCACGTGTAAAATCTGGAGCCACTGCTGACCTGAATGGACATTCATCACGGCGAGGAAATGAACCTTCCCTGTGGTAAGTGTCTGAGATTTGAGGATCATCTGTTACCAGAGCATAGGCTGTCCTGTTCCGATTTAATAATGTAATAACATAGTTTTCTGGGACAAAAAGGACTGAATTAAATAAAGGCAATGCCACACAATTAACTTTTCCTTGCTTAACTGGAATGCATTCACTTTTTTCAGCTACTGGCTTATCAATTCATATAAAAAGGCAGCAAAGGCCAGTAGTGGCCCTGCCCATTCACGGTTGCCTTGCAAACTACCATCCACCAGCAGCGCCTTCACTCTCACTCACTCACCCAGAACTTTCTGCGAAGGTCTGAGAAGAGGGCAACATGGCTTAAGCAGGCTATTGCACATTCCATCGCCCAGTGACAGACATAAGGACAGTCACACAGGGTGGTGTTCCTGAGGGATGCCAGGGGCAAATGCAAGTTGATCAAGGAAAACGAGCAACCGTCCAAAGCCACAAAGGGGTTACCAGACTCACCATCAGTGCTAATGAGAATTTAATGCAAATACATTCTCTAGAGCCTAAAAAAGAAAAACTAGCCCTGGCCGGGCTGGCTCAGTGGTTACAGCGCAGGCCTTCCGAGCGAAGGGTCTTGGGTTTGATTCTCAGCCCCGGGAGGGGCGCATGCGGGAGGTAGCCAACTGATGTGTC